CGCGCCGCCCGGCCGCTCCCCACGCCGCGTCGTGCTGGCCCGGAGGACCCCCGGGTCCCGGCCTCCCCGTGTGGACACTGGGTGGAGGAGCTCTCGTTCACCGGTCCCGAGGCCCTGCTTGCCGCTCAGGGCTCGCTCATTTCCCTCTGGGCTTTCCGAGTGTGTAGGAAGCCGGGTCCCAAAGCCAGAGCCTCGGGCTGGGGATTTAGCTCAGCGGCACAGCGCCTGCCCGGCAAGCGCAAGGTCGTGAGTTCGATTCCCGGTACCGGGGAAAAAAAAAAAAAAAACAAAAAAAAACAAAAAAATCAAAGCCAGAGCATTGCCGCCCCTGGCACCCACATCCAAGCTTCTCCCAGATCTGGCAACAAATTCCTTAAATTTTAGCACTGCACATATTCTTTACCTGTATTTTCGGCACTGAGGATTGATCCTCAGTGTGTGGGTTGATCCTTAGGCCTTCTAGGCGCACACTACCGCTGAGCTCTGCCCCAGCCCCAAACTGCAATTTTGATCGTGTTGTTTAGTCCATTCATTTAATGCTTTTCTTAATATAGTGCGACTTACATTGGTTTTCCTGTTGCTTGGAACAATACAGACAGTTCTTACATCCATATGGATTTATCTCTGGTTTCATTTGTATTTCTTGGTATTTGTTATTGCATTAATGTAGTTTCACGCTATATGTTAGTGCCAGGTGATGATAGCTAGTCCTGTTACTGCTGTAATTCGGAAGTTTCTTGGGTAATTTTATATATGCATATTTTTTCATCTTTAGAAGAATTTGAGAATTTTTAGGATTTGGTCTCTTCCATTACAAATTATGCATGTTGAACTTTTGATATGTAGATCAAAACTTGGAGGGTAGTTTGGAGGGAAATGGTTACTTTCGTAATGAATTTTATTCATCTGCACGTGGTGCATGTATTGACCTGCGTGCCTTTGTAAATTTTTATTTCTTACAAATAATGCTTCTTTCCTTTTTTATTTTTAATGTGGGTGCTGGGAATTGAACTCATGACCTTGCGCTTTGCCTGGCAGGCGCTTATACTGAGCTATATCCCTGGACCCCCCCCTTTTTTTTGCATGTTAACTTTTTAAACATGCATAGATATGAAATATCACATGCAGGTGGCAGCTCAGTAAAATTGATGTGAAGTTGTACTAGTTACTGAATTGGATGTGTAATACCTGGAATATGGCTGGTGCATAGAAAGTGCCGCCCAGTTATTATGCCTTTTTCATGAATATAGTTTCTCTTATGCCCACCCGCTGCATTTCACCTCTTCATACCAATACTTCTATACCCTTATATATTATTATGATACATACATGTGCTTATTTCTGTACATCTGTATCTATGGTGGGGGAATATCAGCCAAGCTGTTTACCCTAGTGAATAATAACAACTCTCCCTCCACCTTTCCGGTACCGGGTATCGAACTCACGACCTCGCGCATGCCAGGCAGGCGCTGTGCCGCTGAGCTAAATCCCCAGCCCCCTCTCCCTCCATCTTTAGTTCATGAGATTTCACTTGTTCTGTCTTCATCAGTACTGGCGGTTTTTTTGTTTGTTTTTTGGGTTGTTTTTTTTTTTTTAAGTTATTTGTATGATTTTATTTTGCGTTTCTCTAGTTTCTAAAGGTACTGAGCTTTTTTATAACCGTTGAACATTTGATATTTCATATAAAATGCCTTTTAAAGTCTCTTGTCTGCCTTTCTTCTGGAATCTCTGACCTTTCCTTTCTTATTTTTAAAATGTTTAGTCATATTTGAGGAAAAAAAAGTTTCTCCCAGTCTGGTACTTCTGTTTGCACCCTGCAATTATTTTGTTTGATGAGTAGAATTTGTATGCTAATGTGGTCCAAATTTATGCATATTTTCTTATGTAATATTGTTGTTTATTTAAAAATAAATTACTGAAACAACTTTTGAATGTGTTACACTTGGCTTTTACATTAAGGTATTTTTTACTTCTGAAAGTGGCTGTGGTATTGGGAAATGATACAGTAGCATTTGTTTTGACACGTAGATACCATATTTTCCCAGTAACTTTCCTGCAGAGAAAGGAATCTTGCTATTCCACTGTGGTGTAGTCTCTTGTCAGTTATGTCTAAAAGGCAAGGGTCTTTTTATTTTTAAGTGTTGTGTTTTAAATTTAGCTGATTTATTAATCTCTTTGCTATATGTATGCTGATTTATATGTGTATATAATGATGTTTTGATTGATGATGGATATTTCTTTCTTTTGTTTGTTTGTTGAGGCAGGGTCTCACTATGGAGTTTAGACTGACCTCAGATTTGCTGCTATTCTCCTGTCTCAGCCTCCACAGGCGTACACCACCATGCCTGGCTTTTTAATGACGAATTTCTTATAAGGCAGTGGCTAGTGTGTAGTAGACTGTGACATCTGATTTGTGTAAGTACACTGATACTTACACAGTGAATCGTGTAACGTTCCCCTTCCAGAATAAGGTGCCTGTGTAAATTGAGCGCATTCTCTCTCTCTGTCTCCCTCTCTCTCTATATATATATATGTATATAAAATATATATATGTTACAATTATATAATACATAATTAATGCAGAATTCTTCATTATCACATTTACCAGAATTCTCAGGTTCATTTGTCTTCTAAAAGAACCAGTGTTTGGCATTGCTGCTGCCTGTGTTGTGTTCATTCTCAGTATAGTTAAAATTTGCTCTTTTGCTAAGGACTCTGTTCCCTCTTTTATAAAATCTGGCCTTTTCTAAGCTACTGGAGTGATGATTAGCTAATAGATTCTTAGTTTCTTTTTATTTTATCTATTTAAATTTGTAACTTTCCTTTATAACCTCAGATTTATGTGCATCCTTTTTCTTACAGATTTATTGAAGTATAATTGACATAATAATCTGCATGTACTAAGATACATATTTTCTTTGGTATATACATGCATCCTTGCAACCAGTACCATATTTAACATAATTGATTAGTGTGTTTCCTAGTACCCTCTTCCGGGTATAATAATTCCAGAGTCCTCTATGTGATTCCAAGAACAAAATGACTCCGTCGGTGATAAGTTGTTTATTTTTTTTACTCAGCCTGTTTACATTGTATTTAAAGAGCTTTGTTAGAGTTCATTAATTAAACTAGGAAACAAAAAAGAAATTGAACATCAGAAAAATATATGCAAGAAAGGTAAACTTGGCGTGTTGATTTGAACAGGTTATAACACTTTAGAGTTATCTTGGTTTAATGTGAATTTGCCTCTGATCTTGCTGGTACCCTAGGCTGTAGGAGTTGGGCTGACCAAACCCTTTGGAGCTTGCATCTTGCCACCATATGCACAGGATATGACATGAATCTACAAGAGTTAGTGTTTGCCCTGACAGGTTTTGGTCAGATGTTCTTCTGTTTTCCTATTCCTGTCTTTTGGAATGGTAACATCTTGTCTGTGCAATCATATCTTGGGAGTATGCAACTTTTTTTCCTTTCCACAAGGGCTCACACCTAAGAGTTGGCTTCAGTCTAGAGACTACGCTTGGACTTTTGAGAAGGTTGAAACTGATGAGACTTCATGCATTTTTCATTATGTAGAAGATATTAGCATCAGTTAGGCAGAATTATGACCTGGGGTTTGGTTTGGTTTGGTTTGGTTTGGTTTGGTTTGGTTTGGTTTTTGTCTTTCTGAGACACAGATCTCACTATGCTATTTAGGCTGGCCTCAGACTTGCAACGATCCTCCTGCCTCAGGCCCCTGAGTGCTGGGGTTACAGGCATGTGCCACTACACCTGGCTGTGTCCTGTTATTATGTTTGTTTGGTAAATAATTGTGTCTCAGGGAGAGCTGATTCAATAATCAATCTTGATTATTAATCTGATTAAGTTATTAAATTCTTAGGCGATTGGATCATGAGGGTGCTATATTGGCCAGTGGAATAACCCATTCATGAATTTATGGCTGAATAGGATAATCTGACGTGGGACCTTGACAGGATGAAGTAGGTCATTGGGGTCATGCTTTGAAGGGTATGTTGTTTCCCTGGCCTTTTCCCTTTGCTGTCTGCTTCCTGACTACTGTGAGGTATGCGGGTTTCATTCACCATACCATTCTGCCATCATATTTCTGCCATGAAACCACGTAGACACAGACAGAACACATTGAAACCATGACCCATAATGACTCTTTCCATCTTTAAGTATTTTTCTGAGGTATTTGGAACAGCAACTAAAAGCTGACCAATACATGTGTTTGCATAGTATTTAAATTACAGTAGTTTAAAAATGTTTCTCTTGAAACATTTATCTTTATGGTGAAAACTTTCAAGGTCCTATCATATAGCTTTTTTACATCAGTATATTGTTATCTGAGGTTACCGTGGTATGCAGTACCACGTCAGAAATTTCTCTGCCTATCTATTGTGGAACCCATGGATAACTTTTACCCGTCCATGCCCCTACCCTACTCTCCTAAGTCTCTCATCGCAGTTGTGCTCTCAAGTTCTATGAAATAAACTTTCTTGCATTTCACATACAAATTAACCCATGCAGTATTTTTCTTTCTCCCTGGCTTGTTTTACTTAATGTATTGGTTTCCAGTTCTTCCCAAATTGACAAATTATGGGGCTTCATTCTTTTCTGTGATTGAGTAATGTTCCATTGTGCCTGTTTCCCATATTTGATTTATCATGTCATGCATTGATAGTTTGTTTTTAGTTATTTTGGCTACTGC